GGTAGCTTGATCCCATTGTTGTGCCACTCAAAAATGGCAGCTTTTCCAATCACTTGATAAATAGCTGGAGTAGCACACTCAAATGTGGAATATGTTGCCTCCGAAATCCTCCTTGGATTTTGAACCCCTAGAAATTTCACAGGTGGAAGTGTTTGAATTTTTGTTGGGTCAATTTTCCACCTTCTAGCACACAGACTTTTTGTCAATAAGTCTAGTGTCATTGATACTTTTTCCTTGCTATGACCAATAAGCATAAAGTCATCAATGTAATTGACAATTGTGATGTGTTGGGGCAGGGAAAGGTGATCAAGTTCCCTGTGTACTTAGTTATGACATAATGCTGGAGAGTTCATGTATCATGAAGGAAGCCTGTGGAAGCACATTGTTGGCCTTTCCAGCTGCAGACAAACTGCTTGTGGAGATCCTTACAAACTGAAATTCAGAAAAACCATTGGCCAGGTAAATAGGCGCATACCAGGTCCAGGAGATGTATTAATTTTCTCAAGCAAAGAGACAACATTTAAATAGCAGCTGCAATAGCAGCCACAACCTGATTTAAGTTTACGATAATCCACGGCCATTTTCCAAATCCATCCATTTTTGCACAGGCCCAATAGGCGAGTTCAATCGGGATATGGTGGCAATCACCACCCCTGCATCCTCCAAATCTTTGATTATAGCACTAATCTTTTCAATACCTTCAGGAATGTGGTATTGCTTTAGGTAATTGCTAGGTAAACGTACTTCTCTTGGTTTCCACTGGGATTTTCCCATCATAACAGCCCTTGTTCCACATTTCAGGGATCACATGTAGGGCTTCTGTCAGTTGCTGACTATGTCTATTTAGATTATGCATTCTGAAACTGGGAAATCACTACATGATGAGTTTGAGGACTCACTCACTCACAGTGAGGCGGGCCTTAGCTAAGATCTCATTAATAACTGGACCTCCATGTGCCTATACTTGACTGGTGGGCCACAGCGACCTTTTGGAAGTAGTGTCAATTCAGAGCCCTGTCATCCTTGAAAATTCTGATTATTTCCTTTCCCCCAATGAACAGTCACCAATATAAAAGACCATAGATCTCTTTGGGGAAAGACTGAAAGAAAGACTAACACATTGCAGTGTGGTGGGGTCCTTCCTCAATGGGACCTGCTACCCCATCATCAATGTGTTGTGGGACTGTAAACTGGCTCAAGTCTGGGAATTGATTAAAAGGCTGTGATTCTCTGTTTTAGCGATTCAATTTAGACTGGCAATTTACTTGACCCAGAGTTCTTCCTCTTGAGGAAATCAAGTAAATGTTTAGTAGGTTTCCCTTCTATTTCACTGCTAGGGACACCTTACCTAACTAGCAGGAACCTTAAGTCCGCTGGAGTCAGACTATTCTTGATTAAGTGCTGCCATGTGTTCCCCTCCACCACTGGGTCCAAACAACCTCATTGTGGTTTGATGTCATAATTAAATTAGGGCAGTCCCCACTGTTAAATCCAGTTTACATAATATAGCAATCCCAGCAGACTTCAAGGATGCTGGGGCTCCTTTCAGGGGTTGTTCCTCACCGTTGTGGTGAAAGTTTTGTCCTCTGGATTCTCCATGTATGGACTTATGGGTTTCTCTTGATAAATCCACTGTATCGTGCCTGTTTCCCGAAGTCTTTGAATCCCTTCCTATACCAAATAACAAGGCAGATTTGGTACTTCAACTTGATGTATTGTAGGGTATTGTGCGGTTCATGTTTCTGTGAACCAACCAAATAAGCTGTTAGATCCTCTTCTAAGCTCTTTAGCTGAAACAGTGAATGAAGAATGTGTGCTTAGTGGGTCAATATCAATAAACCCAGACTGATCCAGAGTTATGTTCCTTATACCGTTATCCCCCACCTATTCTCCTGGTTTGTGCTTATACAAATTAGAAAAATCAAGCAGTTTTTTGAAGTATAATGTACTTTGTTCTGGGTCACAAATTGTACTTCATCTTTTGTGGGTCGATGGGACTTAAGTCTAGTTATAGGTCTAGAAGCAATAATTTTGTAGAATTGTTTCCTGGGAACGTTCAGCAAAGTCTTGCAAGACATTGACTTTAGATGGTGCCTCGAGCACCATCTCAGCAAGTATAGGTGAGTTAATCTCATCAAGAGTGACTAGAGGCGATGTTGTCACTGATAATGGAGTAATCTCTCTAGAAGAGGAGGTTTGGGGTTTTAGGTGTTATTATTACCACCTCACCACATGGATTAGCAGCACCCACATTCCTGTCAATAGTGGAGGCTAATGATAAGTGCCTTTAAATGTAGTCAGATTTGAGAGCCAATTTTAAAAATTCATCCCTCTGATATTCCTTCTCTAGAATCATTGTGATTGCCATATGTCTTAGGCTGAGTTGTCTAGAAAAAAAAAAACAACAAAAAACTGAGGAAGAGAGACATTTATATGAAGATATCAAGGAAACAGCTCATGGTCTTAGAGACAGGAGTGTTATATGTGCAGGCCAGGCAAACAAGATCAACAGGCGGCTCCAGAAGTCAGTAATCCCAAGTCAGGGCACAGCACAGAGTCTTGGTGTTGGGGAACGGTGGCAGAGGGGGGTGAGTGATGTCCAAGGTCTGGACAGGCCCGCTGTAGAACCGGAGAAGTGGCATTGGGCTGAGGAGCCAGAATCAACTCCAATCACATACATTTGAATTAGAACATCTTGACTTTCAGTTGGCAAATTATAAATGAAGACTGGAGTCTTGGTGTGGCGCTGTGGGTAAATGTCCTGGACTGTAAGGTGGGTTTGAACCACAAGGTCGGTGGTTCAAGCTCACCAGTCGCTCCTCAAAAACCCTACGCAGGCTCGATATGGGTCTGAACCGGCTCGCCGGAACTTAACAAAACAACAAGTGAAGACTAGATTTCTGGCATTACTGATATGAATGGAAAATTAGAGAGTGTTACCTGGAAGTTCAACTGTGAGGGAAATTTTGGGTCCTTGGCAATCCTAGGAGGCATGTGTTGCTTTAAAATAGTGAAGTCTATCCACACCCACATTAAATAGCTTACTTCCTCCTATGGATTGATTTGAGTGGCCCCCAAGCCCCCGAAAGAGAATATGTGTTGTAAAACCTAAACCTATACCTAGGGTTCAAATCCCATTTGGTCCTGGATTGTCTTCATTATTTTTATGAGTCTGTATTAGTGTAGGGTGTGTCCTAAATCAATCTCCTGTGAGCCAAGCAAGAGAAGACTGAGCAACCAACCAAGCATCTGGCAGGGATCCCTTTTCTTTTTTTGCCCCATTGAATATAAACCAGTTTTTACCCCTGTTAGATTTAAAGCTTGCACTCTTCCCAGTGTCTTCC